AGAGAGAGAGAGAGAGAGAGAGAGAGAGAGAGAGAGAGAGAGAGAGAGAGAGAGAGAGAGAGAGAGAGAGAGAGAGAGAGAGAGAGAGAGAGAGAGAGAGAGAGAGAGAGAGAGAGAGAGAGAGAGAGAGAGGAGAGGTTTGATAAATGTGTTAACTCTTGATGTTCACTATTGAATTTTATTTTAATTCTAGACCCCTGATGGTATCATTTTACCACAATATCAAGTCTCTTTGAAATCAGGAATCTACTCTGGGAGTTACAAGCTCGGAGAAATTGTCAGGTCAGTATTAGATTTTATAATTTTGTTTATAGTTACAGTTTATTACCTGTAAACACTAAATACACTATTGTTTCGTGGCCAGTTTCTCTTAATGGATAACAGGTAAACAAGTTGATGTATTGTCACATCATAGAAGCTCCCTTTCTTGATTGGTCAGCCCAGAAATCAATCTTCACATTTTCGTGGTCTGGGGGTCCTTCTGTACATATCTTATATCATGCACATCCTGTCCACTTAATATATGTTCATGCTATTATGGGGTTTCCACATTGTTTACCAAGGCTTTAATAGCTCTTGTGTTTCAGCAAGGATTTTGCTCATGTTCAAAACATTCTGCCCATTCACAATCTATCCCACATATCTGCGTTCTCTGACATGCTGAGAATAAATTTGTAATAGTTTGAGAAAACGTCGTAATATTACGAGAATAAAGTAGCAATCCAATGAGAATAAAGTCATAATTTTTTAACATAATCCACCTACCCTATACTCTACTGTGCTTTAGCCTACGTTATTACTCTGCTGATACCTCAGAGTTCAAGATAAGTCATCAAAATATGAAAGAGATATAGATAAACATTTAACATATATTTGGCATATGACAAGTGATAATTAACACAGGATAATTTAGAAATGCATATTTTATTTCACTGTGTCTTTAACCAGAGTAAGGTGTTTTTTGTTGTTGTTGTTTTTTTTGGATAACCAACAACTTATATCTGGCCTCTTGTTAACTAAAATAAAGCCTACCAAGCAACTGATTGTCACAAAACACCATGGTTTAATTAATATTTTTTTAATTTGTTTACTGAAATGTGTTCTCTTGGTGTTTGTGTGAAGTACTGGACTGTGGAAGGTGGTGGCAATGTTCCTTACCAACCCACAGCAAAGATATTCTGCAGAGTTTGAGGTCAAAGAATATGGTGAGTGCCTCGTCACCTGAACAGTTTAAAACCTATATAACATTCACTTACTTTTCATCCAATGTTGGACACACAATGAAATGCACAAAATTTTTCAGTACTGCCCAATTTTGAGGTGAAGCTGACGCTTGAGGTCCCCTTCTTCCACGTGGATGACCAAGAACTCATTATCAACATTAAAGCTACGTACGTAAATCACATACAGTGTAAAAGACTAAGTTAAGAGGCTTATAATATCACTGCCCAATCTTAAGGACACAGACCTACTATGATAACATTGTCTGTTTCATTAAATGGATGTGATGCTTAGATGTATTCATTGTCCAAACTAACTTCATAAAGCAACAAAATGAAAAATCTATTCATGCCATAAAAAGTGCTCAACTAGTGGTTGAAAGACTGTATTTCAACCACCATCGTGTGTGACATTTTGATAAAAAAATTATCAAAATGAATTAATCTCCCCCAAAACTATTTTACTTAAAAAAATGTAAAAATTAATTAATAAATAAAAAAAACACAACAGTGCTCTCATCTTATAACGATGTATCTCTTTTTGACATGGTTTAGTAGACTAGACACATTTAGTCATCCACCCATGATTTATCGACAACATCATCCTGGAGTAATGGAAAATATTTAGGGCTGCTTGATAGATCCTCACCTGCTGCACATATTCTCATACCTGTACAAAACATTTTAATTAGAACAATGTCACTGTCAGCCCCGCCATGTCTTTGAGGTTGTCTGCTGTATTGTTTGTTGTTCATCATTGTCCTCAGAACCAAAAAGTTTTCTTTTGATCCCTACATAGCTAACATAAGGTTTATACCATCTGAATAATTTATCAATGTGCGAGAAGACATCAAGGGTTCTATCCCATTCTCCCCACTGGACCACAAAGCCGGTGCTGAACACGTCTCCCACTCTTTAGACGTGATGGGGTAGCCTTTTTGTTGCTCTGGGGTCCCCTTCCTGGCATTTTGAATGATAGAATCGTCCTTGCGTGATCTAAAAAAGATGTAGGATTCTGGATTGTAGACTTCAAGGTCTGTCTCTACACGATAGAGCTCTCCAGGCACAGACCCGCACCATTGTGTGGTATAGACTCCTTTTGAAGCAGTCATATCTTTACAGACTTTGTTTCTGAAGTAATTCCAGTCTTTGGCTGAAAAACTAATGTGCGGTGTGCTTTCACGCCCATTCAAACTGAGGCGACCAAGCCTTTCGGTCCAAAAAATCAGCCAATGTTGTTGTCGTCTTTCTGGGAGCCATACTCATTGCAACAGGATCTATAATTATATGTCATTTTGGAGTCATTACTCCTAATTGATTACCTCTGACGTCCATGATTGTGATGCTGCAAAGATGGTGCTGTTGTTCTGCACGAAGATAGCTCTGTCCGATATGGATTCACCCAAAAATCATTCAGTCACCCTGTTCCACACTCTCGGTCAGTTGCAAGTCCAAAACTAACCCTCTATATGTAGAACCCGATCGCTAAAGCCACTCCCAAACATCTGCTTTTAGAGGATAACACTGGACCTCCCATATACACAAACCCCCCTTTTCACACCTTGAAATTTTCACAGTGATCTCCACACTTCCCTTACTGGGAAATAATGTGTAATTAGCAGGTGCTTTCTAGCATCACACAGAGGACAGGAAGTGACGTTAAGTGCATGATTATTCAAAGCCGCATCAATGACCCTTGCCAACTGCTAGCAGCCCCGCCACGCATCATGCCATGAGGGCCTGCCCAACGCTGCTTACAGCTTTAATAGCGGATACAGCTGATGGATTCCAGACCAAAAACTGTTCAAAAATCACCCAAACGCGCACAAACCCGCCCAAAATATGATATCAATATTTATTTCAGTAGCCTATTTTAACTGCCACAATTACTTACTGTATTATAATTAAAGAAATGCACACTGGTTGCCGAAGCACACATGAACAGGGTTTCCGTGGGATCTTAAAAAGTCTAAAAGAGAAATTTCAAAATCAAAATGTTTATTAAGTCTTAAATTCACTGAAGTTGTGTTCTAGGTCTTAAATAATTTTAAACAAGTCTTAATTTTCCTACGTTTATGAAACACTCCCACAGCGCTTTAGAATGTCACCTACCGGTACACCTTGAATGTAAAATCATTGTTGTGAGCATCAAAACTAACCCAATTGCTTTCCCCAGATCTAATACTAATTCCCCCTAGTAGATTTTGTTAGCTTTTGGGGTGTAGTTTATTCAAAATCTGCTCTAGATTTTCCACAGATGTGGTAATAACAATGTTCAAAATTTATATGGAACAAAAAATATTCTTGGGGGAGGACTCTGGGAGGACGCTACATGTTTATTGGTGTTATCTATCCAGAAATAAAGCAGGGCCCACTTTTCAAGCACAGAAAAAAATAAGTTTGCTTCACCTTTGCTACTACAACTCCATTCTAAGGGAAACGGGAAGGGAATAGTAATTTACGTAATTGCAAAATCACCTTTGCAGCTGAAACCATACACGATAACACTGAGCAACAGTTGAAAATACCTTTTTTTATTTTCTTCTCAGAATACACCAGAATGCTTTGTTTGCAAATTTTTCATCCCTTCTGAGTTTACTTTTTAGTCAAACTATTTAGTCAAACCATATATTATTGCGAATATTATTGTTACTTGTTCATCAAATAACGGCAACATCAAGAAATTAAGTGCTACATGATGTTGCATACTCCTGTAATACATTATTTTGCTGTACTGTAAAATAACATCCATGAGGGTTGGCTCATCTGGACTAACCTTCCAAATTAAATGAAGAATATCTTAAACTATCACATCTAGTGCATCAAGTATGACCATTGACAGATAACAACAGGAAAATGTAAGCCTAACTGTTTCTGTACCACATAATACATGAAGTTTACAGAGGAATTGTCAGGTGAGAATCAAGGCTCCTCTCCACTTTAATTAGATAAGCAATCTGCAAATCTTACCAAAATGTATTTTAAATTATTTTGAAACTGTCAGGGCTTCTAGCTGAGGACCCAAAAGTAGACGGAGACAGGGAAGGGTGTACCTAAGTTTATTCAGAATAGGCTGGGTGTAAGGGGGATGAGGGGCTGGCAAATGGTTGATGCTGGTGAGGTGAATAGTCCATTGAGCTGAGCGGCTGGCGTGCAGAACCAGGCTGAGGTCTCAGGCTTACTTAGAAATATAATAGAAACACAAAGTAGTACTAATAGTCATAATCTTAGCTTGTGGTAAAGCAAAGTATGTAGGCTATTACTTCAACAAATTTTAGTTTTAATGCAAATTCTTAAAGTACAGGCATTATTGGTCACTTAATAGGCACACAGTCTTGTTATCGTAATGGCGTTAGCAGGTAGTAATATGTGAAGTTTAGCTGGCTGATCTAAACTTCCATGCTGTACAGTTTTATTTTCAATAATAATTAAAAATTCATCAGCGGTTTGTCAGATGAACGTAACTAAATAATGTTCTATTAGGGCAATAAAAGTTTAGCTGGCTTATCTGAGCTTTTATGCTGTAGGCTACCATTATATTGATATTAATATGATCAACTGATTTTCCCACGACCGTAAGTAGCACATTTTTCTCTCTATGTATCAAAGCCAAAACACAGTGCTGGAGAATAGGTATGAAATTAATCCAACTGTATATTTTACAGCACTGACAAGGGAAACGTGTTACTTCTCTATGATTACTTCTAGCTAAAGCTATCAAACAACAGTTTTCATTTGCATTGCTAAAGTTGTGGAAGGAGATCTGTTAGATGTTTGTGTACCACATACATTAACTAGACACTATTGGATGACATTGGTTATATTAAGTTTTTGGATTAAAAAAAGCCTTAGCTGCTCTGATTTGATAACCTTGTTGTAAAGTTTAAACCTTTTGCATTTTGATTATGTTTCATTATAATGCAGTTCTAAACATGTCCTCCTCTTGTGGCTTTAGGTATCTGTTTGGCGAAGAGGTGAATGGAATGGCATATGGAATATTTGGGGTTATATATGAGGGTCAAAAAAAGAGCATTCCCAGCTCTCTTCAGAGAGTGGAGGTGAGCATGTACTTTTGCTACATCTCAGTAGCAAAAGACATATTTAACTTATAACATTTAGTAAAAGATACACCAACTGTCCTCTTACTGTGTATCAAGATGCATTTTTATATTATGTCACATTAGATCAAAAGAGGTAAGGGAGTGGTCATACTAAAGAAAGAGGTCATCAAACAGAACTTCCCAAACATCTCTGACCTGGTGGGGAGTTCCATATACGTAACTGTCAGTGTGCTGACGGAGAATGGTAAGTCAGAGTGACTGGGTGTTTGTTTATCTGGATAAGTATATGATGTATGTGGTATTATTGTTTCATAATTCAGAGACCAGAGAGAAGCAAGTCAAAAATGTTTATACTTAATAATTAGTGTGTGCATGTGTTTGTGTACATCAGCATATCTTTGCACAGGTGGTGAAATGGTGGAGGCAGAGTTAAAAGGTATCCAGATTGTCACATCACCTTATACCATCCACTTCAAGAAGACACCCAAATATTTCAAACCAGGAATGGCCTTTGATGTTGTGGTAAAGTACACATTCGCAAAAAAATGTACAAGTTGCAGGATAAATTATGTGAATCCTTTGCAATTATCTGGGTTTCTGCATTAATTGGTCATAAAATGTGATCTGATCTTCATCTAAGTCACAACAATAGACAAACAGTCTGCTTAAACTAATACCACAGAAACAATTATATTTTAATTCTAATGACTTCTCCAAAAGCAGGAGTCAGCCAACCTGAAGTCCAATAAATGAGACAAAATTGGAGGTATTGGTTAGAAAACACACACCAATTTTAATTTTGCTATTCTCATGAAGCATTGACTGATGTGAACAATGCCTCAAACAAAATAGCTCTCAGAAGACCTAAGATTAATAATTATTGACCTTCATGAAGCTGGAAGGGGTTACAAAAGTATCTCTAAGAGCCTTGATGTTCTATTTTGTATAGGCTTTGCGCTCTAAGGCTATCGCTATTGGGTTTACCCCTCCGCGCACCTGCACGGCACTGAGAAAAATTGTATACGCCTACCCACAGTGTGGGCCTCTCCTACGTCCGCAATGGTGAGACCTGGGCTTCGGCTCCCATTTTTCTTCAGCGCTGAGCTGTCTAAAGAGCAGAAGATATCCTGTTAGAAGAGAAGAGTGATGTTTTCAAACAAGTCGGCCCGAGCAGGGCGGGACGCCACTACATCAGTACGGGGGTGCAGCGTTTGTGACCCGGGCTTTGTCCTGCCGAAGGGGGACCTCCACCCCCCATGCTGGGTGCGCCTCGGACCATAGCATGCTGGCTGAGCGCTCAACCCCGTCACTACACACAACCCTGCGTGTAGTGTTATCCTATCGCCACTCCACAAATTACGCAAGTGCCCCGCGACAGTGACGGGGAGAACTGTGTACACTACATGACCTAGTGTTGCACTTTACAGACAGCTTCTTTTGATATTATGAAGAAGATGCTGTTTCTCACTTCCCCTCACTGTGTAAGCCAGCTGTGTTAGCCAAACGGCTAACAAGCAGCCTGGGCTGCACATACTCTCTCCCCTTGCCCCCCTCACTGACATGGTCAGGTGGCTGGCCTGAGCCCACATGTACGCCTCCCCTGTCCTCTTCCCGTGTCGGTCGAGTGGCACGGCAATCAGCCCCCGCTTCCCTCCCTTCATCAGGGGAGTGACATAACACGGACAGGCTGCAGCTGGCCGGATGGCTTTCATGCAGCCTGGCTCCGATGCACAAGCAGAATATTGTACTGGCTCGCTTAATCCAGTGGCCACACCTTGCCGTCAGATTGACTCGCACATGCCCGCCACGCAGGGAAGTGCTCCCTCTTGCATTACTGCCCATGACCATAAGCTCTCCTGTTCGGTGGAACATGGAGGTTGCTGCCTGCCAGGCCCCCCCACGGCTGGCATTCCCGCCCTTTTGAGCGCTGGGGTCACAGGCTGCAGTTCGCCCCCCCCTCCTTCGCCGGGATTGTGGAGACTGCTCTCCTCCTTGGCTCAGAACGCCGAGCTTCAGGAATCAGGGGTTCTACTCCTGTTAATTCCTGGTCAGGAGGATGATGGGGGGGTGTGAGGCCCTTCCAGGATCACTGTTCAACAAAGCATTTATGGAGAGACCTTTTTCACATGTTGACAGTAAAGCAGGTGCTGGAGCGTGTGCTTCAGGGAGACTGACTCACCTCCATGGACCTCACGTTCCCCTTCATCCCCAAACACAGGAAGTTCCTGTGGTTCTCCTTCCAGGGTGTCCAGTACCAGGAGAACCGCCTGACGTTCTGTTACTCACTGGCCCCACGCACTTTCTCTAAGTGTGTTGGAGCCACTGCGGTGGTTGGGCATCAGGGTCCTGTTTTATCATCTGCACAGTGGCTTCCTGGTCGTCCCCATGCTCTTTCTTCCGTTTCTACTCACTCAGTACTGAGCGCTTTGGCTGAGTGATTTTCCCTTGTGAGGGTGCGGTGCGGGGGAGGTTGAGCTGCCACTGCTCGCGCTGGCCCTGCTCTGTGCACAGCTGATGCTGTCGTGACCCCGCCTGCTTCTGTACAGCTGCTGCCAACCATCCTGTTCCCCGACTATTACACATGGGTTGGTCCCCTGCCTCCCATGTCAAGCCATCGATGCTTGTGTGCGCTGACACCAATGCTGTGGACAGCGGGTGACTGGATGGCTCATTTATGGCTCTGGGCAGGTGGGTTTGTGCTTGGTGGTACCGTATGAGCCAGTGAGGTGCTGACTCATCCTGCTTCGCCTCTAACCCAATAGCAATAAGAAATAGAAAGCCTATACGAAATAGAACGGTAGTTACGTACTGTAACTCCAGATTCTATGAGTATAGGCGCAGCCCTTTCAGTTGAAGGCCTCACTTGGACCTTGGTTCTCAGTGCTGAAGAAAAGGGATTCTGGAGCCGAAGGCCAGGTCTCATTGGACATAGGAGAGGCCCACACTGTGGGTGGGCGTAGACAACTTTTCTCAGCGCGTGGAGGGGTAAACCCAATAACCTTAGAGGGTTGCGCCTATACTCATAGAATCTGGAGCTGCAGTACATAAATCCCATCCGCAAACTGAACCTCAACAGAAGATGGGTGATGCAACAGGACAATAACCCAAAGCACAGAAGTAAATCAACAACAGAATGACATCAGCAGAAGTAAATACACCTTCTGGAGTGGCCCAGTCAGAGTCCTGACCTCAACCCGATTTGAGATGCTGTGGAATGACCTCGAGAGCAATTCACACCAGACATCCCAAGACTATTTCTGAACTGAAACAGATTTATATTGTTGTATATGTTTTCCTGTAGTTGCAGATTGAACCTTTTCCATGTGGTGTTTTTTTTCCAAATGTTATCCAATCTCCAAAAAAAGATGTCTATTTGTTAATGTTGCATGGCTACTGCAGATGGACAGCATTTCTCCTGTTTCCATAACAGTATTAGATTGTCCATAAACATTTTTTTGGCTGTCTCGCAGGTTGAAGTTGTGAATCCTGACGGCACTCCGGCAAAAGGTGTATTAGTAGTTGTGGATCCTGGCAAGCAGCAGGGCCTCAGTGCAGCCAATGGCATGGCGAGGGTTACCATCAATACAAACCATGTGGTTGAACCACTGACAATTGATGTGAGTGTCCCAAATTGCTATCTTTTAAAAATAATGTTGTATATTAAATCCAGGTTTAGCAAATGGAAGTGACAATCAAATGTTAGTGTTGGCAAAAAATTAACCATTCTTTTGTTTAATTGACTATTATTATTTTGTACGAATACATTTGTGGATGGATATGTCCCAGATCTGCAATGGTAAATACTGCCTCTAGGAAATACTAGAAAGACAACTAGAATATTTTGCTAAGTAAAAGAATACTTTGAAAATGAGAATTAAAAAAAGAAATAAAAAAAATTGGTCAGGTAAAATGAACATTAGTTCAACATGTTGAAAATATTATAACATTATGAAACTAACAATATCTTGGCACAAAATCTCGTCACACCCCTAGTATTTTATTTATTTGCATTTTTCCTGAATGCTGCATATGTGTTGTCAAAGTGGGGAAGATTCTTCAGTTGTTTTTTTGTGAAGTTGCAGTGCGTTGAACTCCACAGCAATTGCATTTTGATAGGACAGGATATTATGGAAGCCCTAAGTGGCCAAAGATTCAAATGTGTTTTTTTTTTAACTGTTTTCCCTTGATAACAGGATAATTATCTCCTGATCTCTAGATAACGACTGTTTTCCTGTGATAACGGGATAATTTTCTTGTGATCTTGAAATATAACAGCAGTTTAACACAGGGGTTGGCAGGAACGTTTCTTATTACTTTCAGTGTAGTTTTCAGTGTCACGGGTTAGCTCAGTATGTTGAGCACAGGTATCATGATCGTAGGGTTGTGTGAGAGATCCTCATTGAAGACCTCTTCAACAAAGTTCTTCTGAAGAGACTGGTTTATATGCTCACAATAAAGCACATGCTGGACTGTGCGCATCCCGGCGATTGGTCCACATTCATCAACATATGGACATTTCCCCATCATTCCCAAGCAGAGGAAATTCATCTCTTCATAAAAACTTTGTTGAAGATGATAAACACCCAAAAAAGAAGAAAACAGTCGCTGAGAGTAGGAGTCAAACCCACAGTCCTAGGATTATGAGTGCTGCGCTCTACCAAGTAAGCTAACCAGTGATGCTGTAAATCTTTTGGAAATTATCCTAAAGAAACGCACATGCCGACCCCTTTATTCAGCTATGGTTTATCTCGGGATCACTAGAAAACAATAGTTGTTATCTTGAGATCAAAAGATAATTATCCCATTATCACAGGAAAATGGAGTTAAAAAAAATTTAATCGATGGCCGCTTAGGGCTTCCGTAGAATACAGACTTTGCATACATCACTTTATAAAACAATATGTGCTATCCTGTGTGTTTAATTATAGGCAAAGACCAATGTTCCCGGCATCAGCCAAGCATCAGCCACCATGACAGCTCTCCCATATACCACCAAAAGCAACAGTTACATCCACATAGGTGAGGAACATCCTGAAATCAGATCAGACAGTGATGTGCTGATTGTAGTGACAGTGTCAATGCTAAATAGCTAGCTACTGCATAGCACCCCTTCCATGTTTAGCTAGCACTAAATGTGCAATCATTATTGCAGGAGTGGATGCAACTGAGGTAACACTAGGAGACAATCTGAAAATCAACCTCAACCTTAACAATGATGAAAATGCACAAGACCACATCACATACCTGGTGAGAGATGTTTTGCATCTGTGTGTGTTTGTGGACATTGTCATGTTTCTGGGGTACCTCATGTTTCCTGTGTTTCTTGTACAGAGCCAGTCCTGACCTTCCTGGGGCCCTAAGCAAAATTCTGCTATGGGGCCCTGCTGCCTGACTCTTGAACCATGTAAACACTTTTGTTTTAGCCCACATTCATCATGAGCTGAACTCAAAGATCTAAGACTTTCTCTATGTACACAAAAGGCCTTGTTCTCTCAAATATTGTTTACAAATCTGTCAATCTGTGTTAGTGAGCACTTCTCCTTTGCCAAAATAATCCATCCACCTCACAGGTGTGGCATATCAAGATGCTGATCGGACAGCATGGGTACTGCACAGCTATGCCTTAGATTGGCCACAATAAAAGGCCAATCTAAGGTTCCATCACACAGCACAATGCCACAAATGTCGTAACTTGGACAAGTTACAGAATGAACATAAACTTCAAACAATAATAAAAGATTTAACATGCCATGCAGCAAATGTCCCTGACATTGTTAGGAATTTTTTTTCAATTCCATGTGCCCAACCCTAAACTGTCTTGTGACATTACCCACTGCAACGTAAATGCAATGTAAAAAGTAGGGCTGAGTATGTTGACGTGTTATTATCGCATTAATTATTTTATCGCACGTTAATGCAGTTTTTTTATTTTGAAAGTCTGTTCCTCCCTATCTCTGAATACACATACAGTCAAACCATGGGTCACTGGAGGGGTGGGACGTTGATCTGCCTGCAAATCACCCACCCAAACAAGCAGTAGAGGGAGGCTTCAGCAGACCATGCTGGATGCAGCATGTAGGAGAAGACAGCGTTCCGCGAGTAAACGGCAGGCGCTCTGTTGAGAGTAATCATGGCAACGGCTTCTGTGCACTATACAGCTGGAGCCTATTTAACTTTTTAAATAGGTTACATAACTTTACCTGATATACCTATAGATGGGTTTCTGTGCAACGTCATCACCAAGATGCGCGCAACTAGGGGGCAGAAAGCAGCATTCTGTCCACATCAGTGTATACAGCATACCTAACTGCATTGTTAGGCAATTTACTCAGAATTGTAATGACTATATATATATATATATATATATATATATATATAACGCAGTAAGGCTCTCAGGCATTATGTATTGATTTAAATATGTACTCTCCTCAACTTTAAATCAACACACATGATCTAGTCTTCCCTCGTTTGTGTATTTTGTTTGGGTAAGAAACCACTCAAATGTGTAGACCTTTTCACCTCCAATAAAAAATTATTTAAATAATGTATTATTAAGATGAAAAGGTTCAATTTAATTCAATTATAAACTCCCAGACTTCAGCAGGTGTTCTGCTCATGCTTAGAACTTTATGCACATGCAAAACTATCCCACATATATGCATACATATACACATGTCAGGGGGAAAAAGTAATATTACGAGAATTAATGTCATCACTTAATGAGGATTCATTATTTTTACTACCTGCACTTTACTCTCCTGTACAGTACCCTGCATTATTGTTGTCTGATATAATCAGACCATCTTACAGACACAGAACTGGATGAGACAAGCAGGTGGAAATCTCACCACAAATCCACACGTTAACTTCAGAACCTCCGATCAAGTGCAGCTCACAGTCCCAGAGGGAGAATGTTTGCACCTCAGTTTTTACCTTTGTATAATTCAAAACCAGAGTTATTTATGTAACTCTGGTTCTATGAATTCTGTATGACCGCCAGAGGCAGTGCTTAACAGTGGATCTTATCCGTCTCGTGCACGGGCAGGTCGAGTATTTAATATCAACAAAGTCACCTGTGACTTGGGATGATGCGGGGCGAAGCTTATATAAGCCCACGTCATCAGGAAAAATGTCCCTACAAAATCTTCTCACCAAGATTCTGAGTGACAGAGAACTCTGGCAATCATCCAGAATTAATATAACCGTAGTTACATACGTAACTCTCATTATATTTCATTCTTCCTGACTGCCAGAGGCAGTGCTTAACATTTTAGTGTTCCCGCAAGACAGCTGCTGCTATTGCATGGGGGGCGGCGACACTGACCCTATAAAAACGGGCAAAGGTGCATGGTGTAGCCCAGGTTGTTGCAGTGCAAATCTCACTCAGAGGCACCCCCCGCAGCGCTGCCCATGAAGTGGAGACACTCCTGGTAGAGTGGCCCCGAATGTTAAGAGGCAAAGGTTGTCCCTTTTGATAGGTACGCTCCCTCGATAACCTCAACAACCCACCTTGAAAGCCTTTGTTTAGACAGGGCGTGCCCTTTCCTACGGCCACCATAGCAGACAAACAGGATATCAGAGTGGCGAAAGTCAACATTTGCCTGCTTGTAATGCCTCAAGGCCCTCACTGGGCAGAGCAGTTCTGCTGACTCAGCTTCAGGAACCTGTGGGCATCATAGGCTGCTAGCCGAATGACCTGATTTAAAGAGGGCTGGAGCCAGCCTTTTAGGGAGGAATGATGGGTTAGGCCAAAGTGACACTCCTGTGCCATCAGAGTTCCAGTGCATGTATGCTTCACTCGCCAGTCTAGGTTTCTATGTTTTGGGGAACAGAGATCCTCTCTCAGCCTTGAATGAACATTCCAGGAGAGGAGAGGAAAAGCACCAAAAACAATCTCACAGCTCAGACCTAAACCCTAGTAAATGTGGACAGACTAACATAAGAAGTATAGGAGAGGAACGTTTAAGGATAAAACACAATACATAATAATAGTAAAAGAACATACATAAAAGATTAAATGTAAGAGGACACAATTTTCTGCCATAACATATAAATATGCGTCCTTCAGATCGATGGACATGAACCAACTTTGCGCCGCCACAGCATGGAGCATATCTGTTGTATGCAGCATGTGGAAAGGCAACTCTTTCAGAAATTTGTTTAGCCCCCAGTATAGGGCGAAACCCACCCTCTTTTTTTGGAATCAGAAAATAAAACCCACCTTGCTGTGTCTGAAGATCTATTCTTTCAGTTTCCTGCTGCCTAGTTTGGTTAGCCTGCATTCCCCGCTCCAAAGCCTGTTGCGCTGCTGGGCCAAACAGCTCCCCTGGTACTACAGGGAGAGTGAGCAGGGCCCTCCTGCCTGGCTCCAAAAGTGGGAATTGGGCGAGTCAGACCTGGCGATGAGCCAAGGTAAGTGTTGCCATTAGCCTACCAAGCTCTCTAGTCATAAGGGCAAACGCCTGCAAAGCTGCATCACTGAGGCTCTGGACAGAAGCATCCACGCCAGAGGATTGCAGAGACTAGGACATAACTAATATCGGGTGGGAAAAAGAGTTTCCAATACGGCCCATGCACGCCGCTGTATCATAACCTCTCAAGTCATCCGTAATGCGACACTGCGGCCTAGGACAGCGAGCATCCGGTCTCAACGCTTCAGTGGGTGACACAATGAGGGACGCGATAACTGGCTAAATAGCCGGTATCTGGCCCAGCCAGTAACTGCCTGCATTCTGCATGGCAGCCAAGGCCCTGCCGTCAGTTGTGTGGTGAGAAAAAGCCTTGGGGTCTGGCCAGCATTAGTGGAGCTCCTCAATGTATGGCTGGGAAGGTGGCAAAGATAAACCCGCCTCAGATTGGAGATGCCTAAAGAATGCACTAGCTGTGGTACCTGCAGTTGGTGCTTCATCCAAGCCCAAGCGTGCCAGTGCCATACGGAACACTGGATTAATTGTGGCATGGGCAGCCTCTGAGCCTGCTCTGGATCCGCTCCCCGTCTGCTGGGAACCGGTGTCAGAAGCACGGGTGGAAGCCTCCACTTCTCCCTGCCCAGGTCTGTCCTCTCAGAACTGGCTGCAGGAAACCCTCGTAGACAGGGCATCGTCATCCCATCCTTGAGGGGTGGGGCTCCAGGCTGGGCAGTCTACACTCGTTGCCTGGCTGAAGGTTAAGGAGCAATCCCTTAATCTCAGCGAATTCTGAGGCTAGTGTGTCTACCTTGGCTGCCAAACCATCCATTCTAGGGGGGCACCTGAAAGTGTGTGTGTGGGGGGGGGCAACTATGCCTGTGAGGCCACACCAGATGAAAGCAACTGGCCTTCAAGCTGCAGTCCTTCCACTTCCGCTTTCTTCAGTTCCCGTGGCATAAAACTGCAATTCTGCCCCTCTCTCAAGTGAGTAACACCAAGGCACGTGGGCCATTCATCATGGCCATCTGCAGCCAGCAGTGGAGCCATGCAGGAGTGACAAACGTGTCCCTAACATGGTGGGACCCTGCATATTTATGCAGCTTTTATATATATATTTTTTCACAACAATAACTGTTATCTAGGAGCAAAAACACCCAAAATAACAGATCAAAGTGAGTTCATATGCCTTCTTATTGAAGACAAATGAAAATAACTCCTCCTTTTAACAATAAAAGTAAACTGTAACCATAAGCGAAATCATTTAGAGTAACAGATCAGAGAGAGTCTGTCTTTTATTTTAACTCAAATTAAATAACTCTCCTTCACTTAATAACCCAAAAAAAATATTCACCCATATGTAGCTGTTAAGTCTACCGGGGAGCCAACGCTCTTTACCAAAGGATAAATTAACGTTTACTTGACATGCCTTAATGAGTGAAAACACTCGGCAGAGAGCCTACAATCAACTAAGAATTATTGCTAAGCGTAAAACAATCAGTAACAGAAGAGTCAAGGAGACCCGAAAACAGGCTCCTCACTCAAAAAACAACAACTTATTTTTAACTAAGGAAACACTTATCTCACTGGCCTAACTCCAAAGCTGGAGAGACACGCACTAGTTTGTCCTCAACCCATGCTGATTGCTGGCGAAAACACCAATCTAACAGCAGGTTCAGGAATGAGTCAAAAACTTTCTCTTGTGGTGCCCCCTCGACATTTTGCGCCCTAGGCAACAACCTATGCCATGGGACAGCCCTGGTTAAGTGCAACAGTTTGCTGAGTCACTCACTGTCCCTCAGGTTGTGACATAAGGATACATACTTTACTGTATGTCCTTCTCCTGGATTATTCCTAATTTATTATTATCTTGAAACAGAAGTTTACCTGACTGCTGTGCGATTCACTCTCACTGAGTTTTTTTCTCGTGCCCAGAAGCATAGTTTCCTCTTCATCCTCTCATCAACACTGAGAATTGCTTTCACCTTTGATACAATAGTGAGGCGGAGCTCTGCTTAATATGCAATATGCGTAGGGAGCGTATATGACAGTTCAGCTCTGTTCTTGTTTTATTTTTAAGTTGTGCTGCTTTTAGGGTCATTGACCTGTTTTGCTTGCTTTTGGTTTTCATTGTCTGTGTTTCCACCTGTCCAAGAGGAAAATTTGTTTGCTCAGAATACTCTTTTTTTGTTTTAATACTTGAGAAAGCACTTAGATCTCAATTTATGTCTTTTTGAGATTACTTCATTCTGAATCATTGCTCTGAAAACCCCCTTAGGAGAAAAGATGAGATAAGGAGAGATTGAGATTTTGAGACTTGGGTAAGACAAATGGATATTGGATTGAGATTACAATAGGAGAAATGGAAGAGATCTCATTGTTGTATCTTTTTGAGTTTATTAATGTCCTCTTAAAAAAGCAGTTAGGAACACTAGGAAGATGTTAGTGAGCTTGATAGTATTGCACTTCTGTCTATGCTTGGAGAACCTCACTGGAGGCCTGTCCTGAGCTGGATTTGAACACTTTTTAAGGGACAACGAAATTAACACTGCACCATCCAGCTACAATTAACAATAGGGCTGAACGATTTTGGAAAATCTAAATGTGATTTTTTTTAAACTAATGTTGTGATTGCTATTTAATATGCGATTCATTTTTAAGCTCTTTACCTTCTGTATTATTCAAAATGGACAAGCAGTATATCAGTGTATAGTATGACCAACACAATAAGATAGATTAAACACACACTGTTCTTTCTTGTGGGTCAGGCCTGTGTTATGATGAAATTAGATGATTACTGCATGAATTGCATGAATTATTATTATGAGCTATGGTGGAGAGGAAATATCAAATTTTAATAATATGAGAAAGATAATTTGAGAGTCAAGTTATGGCATTAAATATGATATTATATCATCAGGTCGGCCTACCAACAGATCACAAGAACAACGAAGTTTACCACAGTGTGTTACACAGTAAGCGCTCAATACAAAACCTACACTTCAACTACCAATTAATGAGTCCTTATCTCAGTTCTAATCTCCTAGGAATCCATTTTTCTTAATCCCAGTAAGCAAACAAAAAATACTTTGAGGTTCAATTAAAAAGTTGGCCAACAAAAATAAAACCAAGTGGTGATGCGCGATACCACTTATTTCTGTGGTGTCCGAACGATAATGCTGCGATGATGTGTTGAGGAGAAATCCGCTCTGCAGCAGCTTGGAGAGTGACCCAGCCCGATGGCCACTCTCCAAGCTGCTGCAGAGCTTGTAATTGATGCTGAATTCCTTGATGTTATAAACTTTTATAATCAAGAACAGTGTCAAGCGGATTTCTTCTCAACACATCATCGCAGCATTATCGTTCGGACACCACAGAAATTGGCGACCACGAAGGGACCGTGTTGTGCCAGAATTCATCGTTCCAACACAGGGCTCCATCGAGCTGACTCCCGCTCCAGAAGCTGGCGTATAGGGTGCGTTTTCCCATAAACTGTGGGCGCTGGTCAGTTCGTGTGTCTGTGTGTGCGTTAAAGGGTACACCGGTTCGATCCCGTGTGAATGCTTGCGGGTGGATGTGTGAGAAGACTCCGTTCTAAATTTTGTGTGCGTTGTGGATAACGCAAAAAGGGTGTGTGTGTGAATGTAATGAGGACAGATAGATAGATATAGAAGGAAGAAAAAGGAACAGCCTAGGAGTAACGGGAAGTGAGGTTTCATAACTTTGCAAAGATTAAGAATATGGGCCCTCAGATTCTTATAACCGTAAATCATGTGGGATGGAAATTACTGTCGCGTGAAACTAGGCTTTAAGGAATAGGTAAATTGGATTAAGGGAAAAGAGAGAGAGTGCAACCCTGGCCAGGGTCATTCGGCTTGAATACAAATTAATAAGGATAAGGAAGAAAATATAAGGTAAAGGAAAAAATAAGGATTAGGACGCCGCAGATCTGGACAAAAAGCCCTTGAAAGGCGATCTTAGATGGGCCGCAAATCCTGGAAAGGAACTAGGTGAATTTTCGGGTCCGTTCAAAGGAACTGGGAGCTTGTAGAAGAAAAATTTAATTGTAAGTTACCTCTCGATACATGTGTTGACGAACTATGTCCGAAGTGGCCTCTCATTAAATATCTGCAAACTCGAGGTAGCACAAATTTAGGAAGGAAAATAATAAAGGAAAAAGGTGCGGCGGAAGCATGCTTTATAAACAGTGTGAAGAAATGAATTGTTGTTGACTGGATAGCTACCGTGTGTGTGTGTGTGTGTGGAGAGCTGCTCTGCTGTGTCTCGGTTGTGTGTGTGAGAAATAGGAGAAGCCTAGTGTGTGTGAGAGACTATGCAGAGGACGATAAGGCTAGGATTCAAGAAAACATATATACATATATATGAATAAAGAAATAGAGAAGGGAATTTGATCAAGGGGAAAACTGTGTTTTGAAATTTGTTAAAGTTATTGATTAATGCTGCTGTATGGTTTGGGTCATTTCATAATCAGCAGTTGGGGTTTTTCTTAGCCTAAGTTACTTTTTTTGGGAAGTGCACATTTGTTTTTCTATATTTATCCGATGCAATACCAAGTAATACCCAGGCTGGTTTTGCCGATACCAATTCATTTTACATATTTTATTTCTAGTTTTAATGTCAGTATTCAATCGCGGGAAATATAAAGGGCCGCAGCAGCTCATTTCAATGAAGCTCCGTCACAGAGCCGTAGCGAAAGCATGACTTTGACAGGCGGAAGGAAAAGTAGTTCCTATCAACTGAGTATAATTAGACCATCCTGGTCACAGTAAGATACATATAATAAAACACACACTGACGCCAAATGACTGAGTTTAGACATCGATCCTTTTATATGAGTATCGATCCTAGGGCAGGAAACGTTGGTATCAGAAATGATACTTTAGAATTGACTTGTTGTTGTACAATGTCCTTACACTTGACAGACACTGACATGACAGAAACTTTAGTGTCACACAAGGAATGAAAGTAGCGCCCGCCACCCGCGGGTAACTTGGTGGTGGTGGTGGGTGAAATCTTCGGGCTATCCGGTGCTTTGACGGACAGGAAAAATGCACAACAGAAAGACAGACAGGTAGTAAGGTAAGCGCATTGTGGCGATCGGCGCCTGCGTTACACACACAGCCATTAGTCAGCTCAGGAAATATCTTTTAAGATTAAAACTAAACGCACAAGTCCCAAAGAGGCCCAGTCTGTCCCGAGTTACAGCCAGTGCGCTACTCACCTGCATCGGAGGCTGTGGAGGTGGGGAACTCCAGTGTTGTCGGAGAATTACTAAGCTTGTCTATTAAACACGAGAGTAGTGATTTGCGGAAGGTACAGCGGAACGTGCGAAGTTGATGCTTCGTCTGCAGACTGCTTTACTCTTGGGTGTCATGTGACCAGAGTGGAATCGCAGCCTTTGCGATTAGAATATCTCATTTTGTCACATCGCGGTAATATCGCAAATGCATAAACTAAATAACAGATTGTCTTTAAATGGAGTACAATTTTCCTTCCTATTAGTAAGACATCAAACAGATTGTATATTGTTGTTTCTCTTGAGCTGAATTTGAGAAGTAGGGGAAAAAGCCTTGGGTCTCACCTTAGTATTAAAAGTATCTCATTTGTGTCTGGGAGAAATGACAGAAACAACTATGTGATCCTTCTTGGATTTTGCTTTCCTATGGGTGTGTCTCAGTGACTTCACCCCTCTTGTGTAAGTCTTTGTCTGCATATTGTGAGGAGTGATACTACTCTGTCCATAGCCGTGTTTCCATCAACTTTTTTATGCACATTTTGAAGTATTGCATTAGAAAAGGTTGATGAAAAATTCGAAAATAAATTCTTAATTTTGCAAAAAAAAAAAGTTTTTACGCTCACTTGAGGTGGTTTTTGCCTTTGTCGAAAAAGAGTTAATGAGCTAAATGGGAGATGGAAACACTTTTGCCAAATATGTTCTGACGTAGCAAACTTGTAACTCACATCTGATTGGCTGTTTGCATTGTCGGATTCTTGGTGGAAGCGCAACTATTTCGCGTTTACTTTTTTTTTCTTTTTTCCGACATTTTAAAAGTCTGCTTAAAATTTGCGTGATAATTAGATGGAAACCTGGCTTATGTGTAGCTGTCCAACCTGTTCCCTGTTCCCAGCCCTGGATTCATGCTTGTACTAATCTGTATTTTTGTTCCAGCTTTCATCAAATACACTGTAAACTACATCTGCTCTGTCCGGTGTCCGCATCTGGGTCCAAACTCCTGTTTTCCTGTATCAGCGCTAAACGTAACTGACATAACATATGTAGCATGTTGGTTAAATGTTGATGTGTAAATTTTTGTCCCTAGATCCTGAGCAGAGGTCAACTGGTGAAATATGGCCGTTACCAGACAAGAGCACTGACATCCATGACAGTTATCATTACCAAAGACATGCTGCCATCATTCCGCATCGTAGCGTACTATTTTACAAAGGACAATGAAGTGGTATCAGACTCTCTTTGGGTGGATGTCAAGGACACTTGCATGGGCTCGGTAAGACACACAGCAGTTATCGGGCAACACCCTTGCACAAACTGATGAAGTTAATTGTATTTTTGTAGGACAAATGCATGTATGGATTTGTTTTGTTTTTTTGAGTTGTTTTAACAAATATGAATCCACATGTTTTGTTCATTGCCCTTCTTTCCTCCTTTAGCTAAAATTGGAATCATTAACTCCCTCTTCATCCTATATGCCTGGCAAAAAGTTTGAACTGAAGGTCACAGGAGATCCAGGAGCCACAGTGGGACTGGTGGCAGTTGACAAAGGCGTCTATGTCCTAAACAACAAGCACCGACTCACCCAGAAAAAGGCATGTTTTTATTTTATCTTTAAAATTATTTGAAAGGGGGGTAATTTAAAAAGACTATATAAATTGCAATAAATTTGTCATTTTTCACTTTTGATGTACAAAATACAACACTCTGTAGAACAGTGGTCCACAATAGGCTGCCTGCGGGCCAAAGCTGGCAATAATACTGTAGCCTATACAACTGTAACTGTAATACAATCGGCAGGATGCACACGCTCTTGCACATGCTTAATTGTGCTTGATGTAAAACGATCTCTTCATAATCAATTTGTAGAAAAGGTAGGAAAAAATACCAGCAGGAGCAGGGATTGAACACACAACCCCACAAATGGGAGTCTTGTACACTAATCATTGAGCTAACAAGTTAATTTAAGTAAAAATGGAAATTATATATTATTATCCAGTTTATACTTTTCTAACAAATAACATCACCCACCTTTGGACAACTACACACTTTGCTTCTATTCTTAGATTCATTCAAACAACTCCATCAGCCCTTGAAATGACATGATATTAGGGCTGCAACGATTACTCCATGTAATCGACGATGTCGACTATAAAAATGAGCAATCTTCTTATTAAGGACATTTCTGGTTGTTAATTTCTAACTGTAACGCACTACAGGAAGCGCTTCTACAGTCTTCCATGACTGCTTGACTGTTAAACTACTCATAAAGAAAAAGCTTTCATGCAGCAGAAACTATCAGAGAAATGGCAAAATGGCATTTTGTTTTTACAAGTTTTATACGCTATTTAATCACTAAATACACTTTTGGGCAGTTTGAGGTGAGAAATCAACTGTGTAGAACTTGAATATTGGCAGTTTTTACGAAAGTTGATGGCAAATTCAAAATGTGCTTTTTGGGGGGGGTTGAGAAGCTCCACAAGCGCCGGCAGGGGTTAGACCTGTCAGCCAGTCACACCCACAGAGCCCTCTGGTCCCAGTTACACAGACAGCAGCAACAACAACAACAGAGCAGCAGTGACAGAGGAAAGGCAGTGTTTCTTATAAGTTTTATTTGTGATGGCCCGTACACTGAGCGCCACGTAGGCTACTGAAATCAATACATTTTTTTACTAGGCCCATTTAAAATCGTATTTGATTGCAGCATTCGCGCAGCACATCTCGCTCGTCTCTCTCTCTCTTTCGCTCTCATAAACATCGCAGCACAAATCTGTCCACCACAACGCTGGCAATGTCGGAGACCCAGCTTTAAAAAACTTATTAGTAATGAGTAATGGTTTAAAGTACACCAAGGAACATCTGGCTCTGCTGTAGCCTACAGAAAATTCTTCACTAAGTTAGCCTATTAATATTTTGAAAAATAAACTACAGAAGTAGTAGGAAAGGGGGCTGTTGCTTTATTATTATAAATAGACATTACATTGTTAGTGTACAGTCGTGGTTATAGTACTTGCTTTTAATGTGCAATGTAAAAAAAAAAAGTTAGTATAAATCAGTGAATTATAGGAGTAGCCTATGCTGTCTTGTCTTCTTCCCTGGTTTCCCCCTGGCGTTGATACTGGTGTTCATTCTGATTACTAAACCTTAAAAGAAAGATATTTAATTAGTTAAATGGTTAAATTGGGGTTAGGGTGTGACAAAAATAACTTTGACTAGTTGACTATTCGGAGGGGGCAGTAGTAGACTGGACAGTTGGTTGCAATTCGCAACCTCACCGCTAGATGCCACTAAATCTAACACACTGAACCTTCAACAAATGTTTAAGCTCAGCTTGCTGGTCAAAGTGTCAAACCCTGTGACATTGTGGTTTGTTTTAACCACTGAAAACTAATTTCTACAGGTTAGCCTTTTTATAAGCACTCTGTTTGCTTTTAGTTTTGTTTATTTTATAGTATGCTTTAATCTTTGTCCCACACAGTCTCACTCCCTACTCGTCAAATGTCTGACGCATGGTCAAGGCCCTTTGTCGTCGCTTTTTAAAGACTTGGATAGCCCTTTTGCATCAATTATTGACATTTAGGGATCTACAGTCAAGTTAGCAACGCTTAGCAACAATAAATATGCAATATCCAGTTACACTTTCAAGATAAAACGTAATGTTTCGATACATTGCCATGTTGAAACGTGCATAATTAAAGTCGTGAAACGTTGCAGTTTCATTAGGTTTAGGCACAGAAAGTACTTGGTTGGGTTTAGGCAACAAAACTACTTGGTTAAGGTTAGGAAAAGATCATGGTTTGGGTTAAAATAGCTATGTATGTCAATTAAGACTTAAGTTAACTAACGTTAATGTCAATTTACCTCACTCGCCTAAATAAAAACATTTAATGTTTTGTTTCGCACGGGACACAAACCCTGTTCTCCTGCTTCAAGGTCCGGGTTCTGGCCCTCTATCCACCCCAATCACCTCCTTACTTAGTCTTTTCTCTTAAATATCATACTTGCCTTTACCATCAAAAACTGACACAACAGGGCTTCCCTCAATACGTCGAACTATGACGTCACTTGGGAGTGAGACCGGGTTGCTTTGTCTGTGCATCGTGCATACGTATGTCTGTATACTTGTATTTGCATATGTGTATGATATCCTATATGTGAAGCACTTTGTAACAATTTGTTTCAAAATGTGCCATATAAATGTGGCAAGGCCAGGAATGATGAGGCCAAACACACAATACATTTTATGGGTTTTTATTCCCCGATTGGACTCAAGCGAGGACAGCATCATGTAAAGTCATGGATTTAAGGCAGTTGGATGTTATACAAAACACAGGAATTACTTTCTCACTTGTCATTTACTTATTGCATCTGATTACAACTATTTGATTTAACAGTATACAATAGTACCTCTAAACCACACCACAATATGTACACAGCTGCCATAAACTAGTTTATACTCATTCTGGTAGACTTCAGTTACTTCTAAACAGGGACTCTAAACAGTAAACTCTTCTACAATTCTACAAGCCAGACCTCAAACTCTCAAGTCAAGTCTAGAAAACAACAATATCTAGACAATAGAGAAAAAAAACAACACAAATATAAATATATAAATTTAGCCACACAATGCACAAGGTCATAAACTCAAGGTAAAATTTACCAGAAAACATAAAATACATCCATACACATAAAATATAATTTGCCCAGCACTTTGTACAGGAACTCAGAATTAATATTTTATGTAACTCAGTCTTCTGAAGTGCAGTGTGTGCCCCCGGGACACGCCCATAACACACACACCAGGAACTCTGCGCGTGTATCTTCCCTCTAAGTCAGCAGAAAAGTAGCGTCACTTTACACTAATATAATGTGATTTTTTTTTTGTAAATACACTTTGTTGTCACTCTCGCTGTCCCCACAGTCAGTCTCTTCTCAGCATGGTTTATGGAGATATCCTCTGTATACATAAACCAAAATACATCTCTTGCCATTACTCTACACCGCAGGCCCGACACTTCCGTTTTCCCCGTGTCCTGTCGGTAACTGTACCCTCTTGCGCGATCAGTCCCATGTACTACTCTCAAAATGACAATGCCATTAAATAGAGAGGAACGTTATCGCTGAAATAATCCCACCAGCAATTACAAAACATTATACCCCACATAACAATATTGAACTCTTTACCCCTGGTTCACTTGGCTACATAAATAAAATAATTTCTATATTGTTGCCTTAGCAGCATGCTTAGCGTCATAATATAGCATGTTACATAAACACAATGAAAAATATTTAGCAGGAGATTAGTTTAAGTAGTCAGGGTTAGTTAAAAATAACCCCCCCAGTGAGCTTGTTAGCTTGTGAGCTAAACCAGAAAGAAAAAAAAGTGTAACATAGTGGACATGGCAGGGGTGAGTTCAAGACAGTGAGGTAGTGTTTTCCATCATAATTGTATAAGTAGATATCCTGATGCTGTATCATAATGGATCTTTTACTGTGTGTGTATGATTTCCACTCAGGTATGGGATATCGTGGAGAAGTACGATACTGGCTGCACACCTGGTGGCGGGAGGGACAGTATGAGTGTGTTTTATGATGCTGGGCTGTTGTTTGAGTCCAGCAGGGGTTCTGGGACCCCCTACAGACAAGGTGAAACTTCTTCACTCAGCATCTCAGTTATTTCACTCTTTAGCCTTGTATTTTAGTTTACTACTTGAAGCGGTCTTCTCACATTCTGGAAAGAGAAAATCCAAATTAGGCAATGTTACAAACCTCCAGTGGAAAATCCAGGGGAGGAGGAGGTTAGTGACAATAATAAAATCATTCCAGGGTGAAGGAAGCCAGGAGACGGATTTTACAGTACATTTGGCGTTTTATTTACAATAAAGAAAAGTGCCCTCAGGGAGGGTCTACAAAAAACAACTTCCCAAAAACGAGTAAGCGCCCAGTCCGGATACTGTTGGGACAACACGTCAGCAAACTGCAAACTAGAAGGGCAGCTCACAGGAAAACAAATGCCACGAATGAGAAAATAACATAAAATACAATAATGAATACCACCCTCCCTCCACTGAGGGAGTGAACCCCACCACGAGGTTCAGACTTGTCACTCGCTACACTGCAGTTTCACCCAGCTCTCCATGCTGTCTGCGCTCCACACTCTCCACACCCAGTCTGCCTGCTCTCTGCTCCTTATACCGGCTCCTGTGCTCCCGCTGATTGCAAACTGGGGACAGGTGTGCCCCCTAGCCTCCTGGCTGCAACATCAGAGGGGGGGAAGGGCAGGACCTGCAGAGGACAGACGAGCAGCAGTACCCCTGGGCAGACACACACGGCTTAAGGGCCGTAACAGGCAATCTGTTATGTTTTATTTGTATTTATTTATTTTTTCTAAGTAACTGAGATTAATCAATTTCTATATCCACACTCAGGTGTTCTTGATATGAAACTTTAAGTTATGTCCATACTGAGCAAATTTTGTGATCCAATATTTATTTTGACCATTTGGTCCTTAATTATACGATTAGCTCTGCATTAAAGGGGCTATATGCAAGTTTTTCAATGAAATTACTTATTAATAAATAAAATTTTCATTTCCTTATTGTCAATGGGCTCAAAACTCACTTAGAAATGAAGCACACGCCTGTTTTCTCTGTTGCTTGCATCAGCCACTATTCTGCTTTTAATGTGAGGACACTGGGTCAGATTCCGCTCTGTGTGTGCAACCGGGCCGCTCTCTGATGACAGAAAAAACACAGCAGCGACATGCAGTACACTAACTAAGGTGACCAGATTTCTGAAATGAATACCGGGGACGTTTTTGGTTTGATGGTCAGTACGTCATTAAAAAATATGTTTTTAAATACAAAATAAAAAAGGGGGAAGATTTTTGTTTTAAAAACTGTCAAATATAACTCTTCTAAATGAAATTAAGTAATTTTGAGGCAGAAACTACCTTTCAGTCAAGTAAAAGCTGCAATCACTTTCTGGCAAGTAAACTGCAAACACTTATTCAGCCACATTGTGATTATTCCGTTAAAAGAAACGGTAAAGTTTCACAAAGACATAACTTTGATATTACGACGGACATAAAATGTTTATATGCTTGTTATGTCTGTTTGATCCACAAGGGCGTCACTTTGTGTTGAAAAGTGGTGGGGACATTTAAGGGCTCATACACAGGGGTGTGATGAAACACTTAGCCCACAAGACTTGACAATGCACAATATTGGAGTAACCAGAACAAGACAACAAGATACTCCAATGCTATTTAGAAGAAATATTCATTGATGAAATAGGCTATTAAATTGGGCAGTTAGAGCATAAAGCTCTTGATTTCCTGCATTCTAGAGACATTTCTGCACCAATTTATGGTATTAAGTCTATTTAATCATAGTAGAAGCACAAAATGCAAACACTGGTTACCAAATTAACAAAATCTAAACGTCAGCAAAGTCAGGCAGGCAAAACGCTTTGATTCTGAAATGCTCCCTGTGGGAAATGCAGCCTGAAGTTGATGGAACAAAACGGGGTCACACAGAGCTGTGAAGAAGGTAGTAGAAGCACGAAAATGACAAATTAATAACAAGTCAATTGCTACTGAAATGCTTGTGAGACGCTTCCAGTGGACTTTAACGCAGAGCTATGGACGCATCAAAACCGTGGCGCAGCCGTAACGTAGACAGAGTCAGTGGATTCCCAGCCGATACAGCTTTAACATGCTGCGCATGCTCCCTCGGATGGCAATTAGTTTTCAGTGGACAATCACTTTTCGGCACCTGTAGGCTCTGCTGTCCAGTCTTTCTGGCCACGTAAAATCTGATTTCAGCTATGATTAACACACAGTTAAAAACAGGGACATTTCCGGGGACAGGCCACCAAAACCAGGGACGGGGACGTCTGGTCACCCTAACACTAACATCATAATACATTGACTCCAACATAAACTTGTAAGGATAAAAACAAAGGTTTATGTGATGAAGCCTGTCAGACCAAATGAGATTCAGATGATGTCGGGTAAAAAGAGTCACACCAGAAAGTCATGTAGAGAGTCACGTTAGCTCGCAGGATAATGCCGAGCCATTGCTAATGTTTACCGATGCAAAGTTGTATTGCTTTACACATTACTTCACCAGCTAACACGACCCATATTACTATCCTGTCTACCACCGGTATCATACCAAAGTGTTGATTTTTGCTTGCACAAATGGATGGAACTGTGCAAAGCAAATGTGGAGCAATTTGTTTACTAGCCTAACCTTATAGTGATACAGGGAAGAGGCTATCTAGCACGGATCCACAGCTGTTGGCTTCGTAACGTTCAATTTAGATTTATTGTGGTTTTACTGGTACTCGAGTACACAGCCTCTCAGTCGCTGTGACTTACAGACTTAAGTTACTTACTGCGGTTTAACTGTTAAAATGAGATTGTGTCACACTTTATAACATTCAGTCCAGCACCCTAACCTTTTCATTATCATCATTATCATCATTGCTGAGCCTCCGGTGAAAGATACACAGATAGTTACTGAATAGCAGCAGACCAGCTAACGATGTAGTAAATGTAACTATCATGTAACGAGCATGGATTAGTTCTCAACCTCAAGCTGATAAAAATATTACTGTAACGTTGCAGTGGAAGTTTACCTGAGTTTCCAGCTCTGTCTGTTATCCCTGTCTGTCTACAGTCGCAGTC